GTTCAGTAAAAGTGTTCATTCCTCATCCAGTCTAGATTCGGATTATATTAGTGCTCACTAACCGTCTCGGAAGACGAAGGCTGAACACCTGTTAGTGGTGTCCTCTACGAACCTGGGAGTGAAGTATTCTCCCAGAGCCGAGATTCAGCCACGACACGGGGCGAACTTGAGAGTTTTCGTCGAATTGGCAATCAAGAGGAGTGGTGTTGGCTTACCTTTGGTCGAAAATCCGACTTGCAGAGATTTCACGACTGCACAACTCAACGAAATCAACCATCTACACCCCAGATACGAACCGCAGACAGCCTATAGCCTGAATGATGTTCGTATTACAACAACCGACACCTTCATGATCTTTTTTCTTTTTCTCTGGAAAATCATTCTCAGCCAAACTTGTCTCGCGGCCCTCTCCACAATCATCTCACAACCTACCGAAGCAATCTCATACCTCCAAAAGCCAAATCGCCAACAAAGAAGCAAGAGGATGTCCGACTCTACGCAAATTCCAGTCACTGTGAAGGTACGGTCGAAACAGCGGCCTTAAATGCGTCCTCGCCTCGTCCAATGCCACCAACAAGTCGACCAGTGACGAATCGCCACCGACGAAACACGTACGAAATTTCGCCGGCAGACCAACTAGAGCGTTCTACAGGGGCTGGGGCACCGGTGCCACGGTCTTGAGCTCTCAGTCGCGTCTTAGACCTCCACGGCTAGGGGTACGGCAGCGACGGGGCAAGGCCGGAGGGGTGGACATTCTACAAAGCTTCTGGGATGACGAGATCAGCCGAAGGATAGAGGGATGCTACATGAAGGATCAAAAGGGAATACAAATTAAGGAGGCCTTGGTGGGCGACTGGATGAGGCTCCAGTGAAGAAAACGACCCCTGGATGAGATGAGGAGATGCTGAGGTGAGCCAAAGCTGGGAATAAATGAAAGGTAGAAGTTACAGATGGCGAAGGTTTCAAGGGCTTGGGCGCGTGGTGGCCGAGGCTGAGGAGGAATTTGCACCTCGGCGCGTCAAAAGGGGGTTCTCTGGACGGTTGGGCTTGACATGATTCAACACATGGGTGAAGTCTGAGGTGGTCCGGTCCTTCAGGTGGGACGAAGTTTATCTGTAATTCACGGTAGTTAACCTGATCCAGCCCGGCCTGCTCGTGCTTAAGCTCCAATAGGAGTGCAACGGAAGCCATGTAACCTAGCACGTTAATGAACAAAACCAAACAAGAAAACTAACCGTCTCTGCCAAGGCGCTAGCCGATATTTTGCCTATATTCACCGCTCACGTGAGATTGCTATTGGGACGACTATTGCTAAAGATTGAGATCTACGAATTGTTTTTAGATAAACTAACTCTCAATGGTCCACTTAAATTTGTATCAATAGTCCGTGAGCCTCAAACATTGTGGCCGGGTAAAAATGTTCTTTTCATGTTTGTTGAAGCATTATACGTCTACAGTGCCTCTAGGTTCCAAAAGGTAAAACTTCAAACTGGGTCGTTGAAGGGATAGCCCTGTAGGCGCAGTTGGGCTAGCTCGTAATAGGTTAGTATTTCTCTCCTCCTTACCCCGCTCGCCATGAAGTATGGTCCAATCGTCTTCTTCTAACAATCGCTTAGACAAACACACTTTCAACGACAATATTGGCTGCCTGACCTACGCAGTCGTCGAATCCTAACATCACACTCAATCCATCCTCACTTCTAGCAAACAATGTCTCTCCAAAAGTCCGCTTCAGAAACTAAAGCCCGCAAGCATCTAACTCGCGATCAATGTATAGAAATAAGAGCATTAAGAAGACTTGGCTTGACACTTCAAAATATATACGACGAACTTGGCATTACTATAAGACAAGTGCAACTTGCTTGTGCTCGAGAGACTGAAAATCCTCTGTCTCGCAAGGGACCCTTACCAAAATTAAGCGCGGAACAAGCTGATGAGCTTGAGGCTTTCGTCCGGGGATCTCCTGAAAATCAACAGATGTGCTTTTGGAAACTAGCCATGGGGCCCTTCAGCCACTGGGGATGAAGTAAACGTTTAATTTCTAACGCACCGAAAAAAAGAGGTTACAGCAGATGCATTTCTCGGAAGAAGCCTCCGTTAAGCGCGGTGAACAAGCAGAAAAGATTGGAGTTCGCCCAACTACACTTAGATTGGAGCGATGAACAGTGGAGTCGCATATTATGGACTGATGAAACCTGGGTATCGGGTGATTCTCATATGAAATCTCGTGTCACAAGAAAAATACGTTTAGATTCTATCAAAATCTTCCTTGTACTAACAGCAGAGTCTAGTCTGATGATGAGTTTGATGAGACTTGTATTGCGGCTCGCCATACTCATAGGAACAGCTGGATGTTACGGGGATCATTTCACGGATCACAAAAAGGCTCATTCCTAGTCTGGGAGAAGGATTGGGGATCAATGAGGGCCTCATCCTTTTGCGAAAGTATTTTGCCACTTTTGAATCAATCTCACTCGGAAAATCCAGAAATTCTATACATGCACGACAACGCACCAAGTCATCAAGCGTACTCAACAATTGGGGCGCTGCGTGAAGTTGGAATAACGCCTAATAGATGGCCACCTTACTCTCCGGGCCTGAACCCGATCGAGTCAGTGTGGAATATCTTAAAAAACCACATTCAGATAAATAGTCCTGAGAAAAATGGGGTCAGGCTTGTGCGCTCTGCCACGTTGAAGACATTGCTGCAGGCCGCATGGAACTCTATACCTTCCGAGGAGCTATTGTCACTAGTTGGCAGCATGCACGAAAGATGTGTAGCAGTGATAAAGGCAAATGGAGGGTACACAAAGTATTAGGATGGAGAAGGCACACAAAACATGTACTACGCTTTCATTTTAGTTGCGAGCCATACTGAGGGCTTTGATGTAGACTTTTTTAATACAGAGCAATAATTTTTGAAATAGATGTGCATTTTTAGAGAATATCAATTGATTTTTTTAATTTTGAATCTCAACTGAGGACCATTGTACTTTTCCTATAGAGTTCAAAAACATCCTCATAAATTAGACTTTCACGGAATGTCATTGGATAGTACCCCTTGCTTGCATAACTAGTCGAGTAACTAGACATGGGCCTGCATGAAGATCATACCAATTAAGGCAATATTTACAGGGATCTTACCCCAGTCATTTTGACAATTTTACCTTTGCCATCCATAAGAGATTGTACTCAAAGTATTTTCAAGCGTGCTCATCTACCATCTTGTTCCCTTCAAGTCCTGCATAATTTGGGATGTATCCAGCCCCTCTATTGTAGTTGCCTTAGCGGCCGTTTTCCGCAACTATTGAAGCCACAATAATTATTTCTCTGTTCTTCTTGTGATTAGTGCCTGAACTACTGCAGAATTGTCGAGAGTGATGTGAATAACGCTTCGTCTCGTGTAGCGATAGCTAGTCATGATTGCTTGAAGCATAGCTATAGCCTCTTAAATCTCTGGATTGCACACTTCCGCTCTGTAACTGTTGTTGGAACTACCCTGTTCCATTATCGCGCCCATAACACCGACAAAAGCTCCAAAGGACCCTAATACTCTGACTGTACATGCTTCAGATTTTTCATTGTAAGTGCAAAGATAGCCTAATGGCAATATAGTTGGACATTTTCAATGGATTTGACTTCATATTTCTCGTTGGTCCTGCAGGGTCGTTGCTGCGTCAGTCTAATAGGATTTAGAAGTAGGAGAGGTCCCGCTTAAGGTAGGGAACGAATTAACACTTGCAGCAAGAAATTCTATCAGATAACTAGAGTCCAAGGCGTTGATTGGCGCTGTCTGCAGTCCCCACAGCCCGATACACACGGAGTGGTTCGGGCTCAGCCTACAAATCTGGACTGCGACCTTCTGCCGCCTATGTTCGAGAAGGATGTTGTAGTTGTTCTAGTTTCTCGCCTCGAATCTATAGCCGCCACTGTCCGGTATATTAATGCAGGTACGCAGATCCTAGACATGATAGCTTGGTCAACACTCTACAATGTTTCCCACTGCATTTTCGCTCGATACCTTTGTGCGTCTCCCAAGCTTATCCTGACCACTTCACCTCAATAATTTGAATTAAGTGGTGCTCATTATGTTGAGTTTGTAGCAATATTAAGTTTAGCTCGGGGAATGTTCTTCATTATAACTTAGACCCTTGTCCAACGTGGATGGCTCTTTTGCCAGTTGATTCGGGATGAATGCATGGCCTATCCCTAGCGGCTCCGTCTGGCACGTGTTTGGTGGACCTGTAAGCCCTTTTATGCAATCGTCCGACCTGTCCTGCATTGCCGGCATGTGTCTCGTTTCTCAATCCCCCCGCGCTTGGCATCTGCTAGTAAGTCTTGGCTCTACACTTATCCAATAACTCAGCATCGGTTGCCCACTCCTAGCACAAATACGAGTTCGTACAGGCATACAGTTTACCCCGGATAGCCTCTCTTACAGCTACTTAATAGTTTTTTCATTTATTACAAGTGACTATATTTTAACCTTTACTGCTACATCTAACCGTACCGTGGCAAAAACTTTGCCAGTGACAAATGTGCGTCTTCAACTTAATCCCAATTGCGTTGATATCATGGACATTCACATGTCCCACTCATCTCCAGCTCTTTTTCTCAGTCAAATACGTCTTGCTCTACATGTGTTTTCCTTCAATAGAATCAAGTTAACATGCAATCACCAATACACACCTTGTCTTTCTAGAAGAAACGTAGACAATCCCGCAGCCAACACCACTGGTTGAAAAAAAATATATCAATCTCGCCAACTCCATTTCTCTTGCCAGCCCCTTCTCGTTTCACCTTCTAACCGAGGCGATGCCTGAAAACAGTCAAACCATAATTTTAGATAGCCACGCCTTAGACATGCATATAGGATATCCCAACATGTTAGAATTTGTCTCAGCTAATGAATAAACATTAAATCATCCGAAACCGAACGCTTTAAGAGTTCAAAGTTGTTGAGAATTTTGTACCTGCCCCGACAAGAGGATGCTGATCTTTTATAACCCTCTGTCTCTTCCACGTCGTCGGAAAAAATCCATAACCTTCCTGGCAGCGCCACTACTTCCTGCGTGGTCGCTGTGGGTGTTTCCATATCCTTTTCCAAGCTCCTGCTCATAGGCATCAGTGAATCGGCGAGTATTTTTCTGCAGAGCACCTCTCCCATTCGACCTCTTCTGATTCTGCGACTGAGGTGGTGTTGGGCGCTTGGTAGAATTCAACTGTCCCCTGTGGGTGTTCATTGCTTCCATAATAGAAGATTCCGACTCTAATGCGCGCCCGTGACGGAAGTTGAGCGGAGGTAAGTAATTTGTCTGAGTAGCAGCCTGTTTTTGAGAGTGTTCTCTTTGTTGATTGTTGCTTGGTCTATTACAGCGAATCGGAACTTCGGAGCTTGTCTCATCAAGGCCATCTAGATGAGATGTCGGTGTAGCATTGGTTTCGGTGGTATTATAGGCCAAAGTTGTTCTGGCTGAAGTTGAGCGAGAAGGTTCGTTATGACTGTCGGGATGATCGCTGTGTCTAGAGTTATTTTCTGTCCCACTGAATGTGCCGTCTTTTCCGATACCGATAGCTTTAAGAGAGAAGGCGGTCGGGATCAAGGAAAATCGGCGAGGTTTCTCCATCAACGTTGTCGTCTGTGAATTTGAAATGCTACCGCTCCTCTTCTTACCAAATCCAAACGAAATTGAGCGACGGGAGTCCACAGAGAGCCTCGGCGTATCTTCTTTAAGTATCGGATTCATGGGCATGCTTACTGGAGGGTACTTTTTACTAGCCTTCTCTTCAATCACGCGTCTCCCTCCAAATACTGAGTTACTTCGACTGAAGAATCCACCAATCGTATTGGACCGACGATGACCCTTAGCCTCACCTTGATTTACATTGATCTGATTCGTCCTATCAGGCACTCTGATCACTGGGCTAGGTGGTGCTGGAGATCGGACTCCGTCACTGCTAAATGTGCCATCAAACTCGCCTTGCACAGCCGTTTTGTTGTAGCTCTTCCCGCCTCCTGGCTGAGACATACGTCCTTGCACATTTGTCCCGGCGATTGCAGGTGCGACAGGCTGGCTGTAAGACCCTCGACTTGTTAAATGCATCGATGCTGGTCGACTTCCATTGGATGCTACCGAACCGCCAGTGGTACATCTCACAATCGATACAGGAGGATGTGCGGCGCTATGCGTTGTATCGGTGGTTACAAGTGGAAGCTCACACCGTTTTGATGTAGTAGCTTTTGGTTGCCGACTAAGGGATGTTGAGCGCCTACCATGACTGGAATAAGCTCTTGTTCCTGGTGGATCATGTGGGATTGCTTTGTTATCATCTGAGGACGTCGTCTGCTGTTCTCCTTGACCTTGACTTCTCGACATGGGCCGCGAATGAGATTGGATTTGGACTGGCTCTTGAGCTAATGCTGAAGAGCCAGTGCCACGTTGTGTCTCAGACATAGGGGCAACGTATTCGACCTGCACAGTTCGACGTTTGTTATCCTTCATGATTTTGTGTGAATCTGGTGATTCTTGTGTTACTTTTATAGTCTTTCGGGTGGATTCACCACCAGCTGTGGTAGGTTTTGGAATTTTTGTTGGCTCCCGCACCGACACACTTCTAGTGATGGTGGGTACGTCAACACTTTCGATGGCTGATACTAACTTTGTCGGGGTTCCACGACTTAAAGAAGAACCACTAGTAATGAAGCTTACGACATGGGCATATTCTGCCAGCCAACTATGACGTGCTACTTCGAATAGGTCGGCCCGTTTTCGAGGATCAGGAACGAGAATTCGGCGAAGGAGATCTCGGGCATGAGGTGACACATATTCTGGGAATGTGAGGGGTGTTGAAACTATGTACTTGTAAAGAAGATTAATATTGTCTCCCTCAGGGTTAGCTGGATCGTCGTCAAAGGGAAGGTAGCCAGCAAGCATGGCATACTGCGAAATATTAGCGAATTTCACCATCAAGACTCGATGGCTCATACTAAAATGACCCCGCAGCTCCAAACATCTACTTTCCGTCCAGTATATAGAGAGTCGCTTACGACAAGTTCGGGTGCGGCATAACAGGGACTACCACAGCTGGTCTGCATCAAGTCTCCCCGACGGTGACCGTCAGGGAGAATTTTATCGAGTTCTAGTTTTTTAACAAAATCACGACTCCCTAAGCTATATTCAATCTCTTCGCTGAGCTTATCTTCAGCGTTAAAGGTATTTGCAAATCCAAAATCAGTGATGATGATATTCCGATTACGGTCGAGTAACAAATTCTCTAACTTTAAATCACGATGCACAATCCCCTTTCTATGGAGATATCCTACACCAGATACGAGCTGTGAAAACAATCGTCGGGCAGGATGATCTTTTAGGTAACGGTGATTGAGTATATAGTCGAATAATTCACCACCAGATGCATACTCAAGAATGATACCGATCTGCTTCTCGGTCTCCACCATTTCATGCAGACGAACAATATTGGGATGGGAAATTTCTCGTAGAATGGCAATCTCACGATAAATTTTGGCCAGTCGCGAGGGATTAGTGCCTACACTGTCTCGACGTATTAGCTTGATAGCAACCTGATTGAATTAGTTTTGAGTCTGATTTTTAGCAGAGGTACTCACTTGAACACCACCTTCTTGCTTCCAGCCCATTTTAACCTTGCCGAACTCTCCCTCGCCCAGCGTTCCACCTAGATAATATTCTCCAAACTTGCTACTCTTTTCTCGCTTTCCAGATACCGCAGCATGTTCATGGCGATTTTTAGTTGATCTTGTTGTATTTTCTTTTTCAGGCTTCGAATTGACGTGAGTGCCTTGATGGTTTGGTACAGCCTCAGCCATTCGCTCACGTTCCCGCTCGATATCTATTTCGGGCTGACTGACAATAATTCGATTCAATACCTCACTTGCCTCGCGTGAAGGACCAGTACGAGACTGGTTTTCTAGAGTCGACGCAGGCTTTCGCCGAACGTTCATCGTAGTTGAGACCTTTGGATCTAGAGCTTCATTTGATTGTTGTACTTGTGGGTCATTTTGTGACACTTGACGATTCCTAGTCCGTGTGGTGTTAGCTGCGGGGTCTTCACTTGGTTTGCGTGTCTGAGAAAACGTCCTTTTATTTCGTGTTCGATCTCGATCGTACTGCCCGTCACTACTCTTAGTTTCTCGACGTGCAGCGTCTGATGGATCCCGCGGTGTACCCTTTCTCGAAGAGGAAGAGTATTCAGCTACTGGGCACGGATGAATAGCTCGATTAGATGATGTTCGCGGAGAAACAATAGGTGGAAGGCCGCGTTGTGAATCGCCGGGAGACATAATCGTTTGTGTCAGGGGTGCAGTTGTTGTCATGGTCGAGGAGGAATGTAGACGACTGCTAGTTGATGACGTAGGGGAACAGATTACCGATGAGCCATGCGTTTGAGAATGGTTACTATTACCAACTATTCCGTTTCCGCTGGATCTCCTTGACGGTCGCCTGGCCGAGGGGGAAGATGTGTTGGCTGAGGAAGGACGAAAATAACCTTCTCGAGACTGCGCCGTACCTGAGGTGTAAGGCCTTCCTACTGGCCGAGCAGGAACAGGAGATTTGGCAACCAAGGTTGATTGAAGGGCCGCAGATGACATGGCGGCAGTTGTATGTGCAATTAGCTTCCTCGTTTTTTAAACAACCAACACTCGATGACGATGAGCAGTGTCGAACTTTCTGTGTGGCGAGAGTGACGCCTCTATCCCCCACAAGTCTTCCCAGTAATCATGGCGTGGTATCTGATTGAGTAGGCCGCTGATAAGGTAGTGTACTTGAAAAAAGAGTGAAGAGAAGCAGTCAGTGTGATTTCTGGAGCAGTTGATGTTGGCCGAGAAATGTATTTGACGCCTGTGTCGCGACCTTGCTAATGCAAGGCTGAGGGAGCAAGAATAGCAGAAGAGACGAGAGAACTTTCAGATCATGAAGTAACCAAGATCTATGTCAGCGGGTTCTGTCGAAGTCCCCTTTACAGGTTAGCAAGAAGGAGCAAGGGAGTGAGTATGTAGACGGGTGAGGAAACGGAAGATGGTGATAATGGAGATATAGACGGGGTAACTGACAAGCTGCCACAGGATTGATTAAGTGCCTAAAATGATTGATGGGCTTGGAAGTTGTTGGGGTCATGCCCGGTTGCTTGGGTTTTGTTAATTTCCTTTTTGCCTTAGGCGAATTTCAGGATAAGGGGGTTAGGGGAGGGGGAAGGGGACGCCGGCCACTCGGTGGCGCCGGACGCGGCGAATTTTGAGCCTCGGCTCTTTCTCGCTCATAGAAATAGCTTGATTGATGAAGACTTATTGAATGGCCCTATACAGTCGGATGGACACGGATCAGTTCCGGAAAATTTTGAACGAGCTTCCACAGAGGGCGATTCAAGTCGGTGCAATAGACATTGAAGACCTCTCTGCTGACTAATAGTTGTTGGAGAATGGAGAGATCTTGCAAGGGAGAGGGCTGAAATGGCATAGGCCAGCAACTATCGCCGTACTGTGGACACAGCAGATGAGCCATTGACGCTAATTTAATATTTAGTTCATTTGCCGTTTCTACGATCATAGGCGCCCTATTCGCTGGAAATGGTTCGAGGCTGCTATCTCTGCTACATCTTTTCATGCAAACTTGACTCGCAACTCTTCCAACCATGAAATGTTCGCCATGAACATTTTCCAATCCGGACATTAGCTAACTTACCCACCACAATTGCGTTAATGCAGGAACTTTCCCTTGACTCTGAGTAGAACCATACGGGCAGGAAATACTCCGCCCTCTACTTGCTCCGTTAACAGCGCAGCGCAGAACGATACAACGGTCATGACACGCCGCGCACCGTGGCATGCAAATATGACAGAACATCCAGTAGCTCGATTCGGCTACCTGCAAATCATTCAGCAACATTGATTCGCCCTACCAGACTTTTCTATCGTCTGATAGGGGCTTCTAGCCCGGCTATTCCTTCGCCGGGCATAAGTAGCGGGAGCGCAGGCCTGGGTTCACTGACAAACAATTTCCTACCACGAGCCAGAGGATTATTTTCTCCGCGGCAAATTGAGGCAGGCGGCTACGTGGAGATGGAGCTGCCTACACGCGAGCGGCTGAGGCCAATGGAGCGGAAGGCGTTCAACGGTTAACTTTTGCCGGCATATCAGGTGACATAAACGAACAGTACCCGCGGAGTGGATCTCTTGATGCCGGAGCAGCACAGGTAGCTGCGTGATGTCAATCTCCAGCAGTCCGGGGTAGATGATCTCTGTTTAGAAGGGTGGACACATGAGGGAGGGCAAGGAAGTGTGATGTCAGACACTCCTGTCCGTCTGATTGCTTCCTCAAACACCTTGTCTTCAGTCATCTCACAATATTGACAGGTCCTCATTTGTCGTGACACGTCTCGGTCGGAGTCGCCCCCACAGCGGGCCCGCACGTTCGTCTTGGAGTCTGCATCTCACAACCAGCCGAGCCCGTGATCGAGTATCACATGAAACTGATAGGGAAAGTGGGTACCTGAAGGTTACAATATTTCTCTCCAACTGATCGACTTGGCCTTTGCCACCCACAGAACTACATGTTATATACACGTCCATCCCGCAAACAAAAGCAACAATTTATTGGTGTGTATGCATGCATGCTTGCTGTACAGGGGAGTCGTTGGTAAGTGTCAAACTCAATGCCACCCACGTCGCTACCACACCGGGTGTCCACGCGTCCACACTAAGACCATCGACACGTCCTTAGCATCCGAATCCCATCTGCTTGCATTTGTCCTAACTCCAGAGCCATTCATCCGCGCAATTGTCAAACAGCTGTGTCTATTTGCAGCTCCTACGCATTATTATACTACAAGACACTATCCGGCTAGCCTGCAGATGGACTGCATGATGCAGGCGCGCGGTGGCTGCGGCTGCAGTACCGTTGAATTGGAGTGACGGTTAATGGGCGCGAGATGGCGAAATATAACTCGTGTATAACAGCTCGTGCTGAAACGGTCCGGTCTAGTTGCATGCACATGTAACTCGTGCACATCAACTACGACCAAACAAAGGCTCTTGAGTCTAATCACCATCAATAGCTTCGTATGAAAAACTATCGCTTTTCGCCAATCATCTCTCCAGCATGTGTCCGTTTATCTCCTGTGTCATGCATGGATATTATCTATCGTTGATCAGCCCAAAATAGATTAATGGCTCCAAAGTATGTGGCATTGATTCCATTCATTTGTTCATCTGGCGTGCAGCCAGAACCAAGTGTTGATGTTGCTGCTCCTCTGATGCAGAAAGGAAGGAAATTAGAAGGAAAGGGGCCAAGCGCAGGTGCCTCTGCATACGACTGACAGCCGTTCGCCATACAACAGTGTCACGTGATATACCAATATAGAATCCGTGCACATGCCTACTAGACTCGCAATCTGCTAGGAGCGAGCACCTCACTACTTCAACCCCACATGCTCTGTTGCTTACGCCAAGTCTGGACACTGACAAAATATTTCCGGTATAATTGACCGCTGCAAATTAGCTGTTCTTCCCTGGACACCATGACCCGAGATTTGCTGGTCGTCGCACAGGCCAGCTAATCATGCAGGGAAAGCTGGTCCTTCTCCCCTACCACCATCTCGATCGATAACGCTAGTCCGTTCATGGCTGTTTTCACTTTCCCCATCTGCATCGACCGACCTCGGTTTCCATCATGCTCCGAGACGTTAGCACTTTCATGCAATTACTCTGTATTTATGCCTCTCGCATGGTCTAGGTTCGTGAGACGCCAGCGACATCCCGATTCCTGTGGGCCAATGCTCACCACAACGCCTGCGAGCTCTAAAAAGATGTCGACTGTTTGCTTCGCTTCTTCCCATGCCCAGCAGAGAATGGTGTTCTGAAATTCGCATTAGCCTCCCATCTTCGAATATTCATAACTTTGGTCGCAATCAGGCGGTTAATAACGCCTTTATCTTGCAATCCAGATAAATCCACAATCAAAACCACATTCGTATAGCATCATCACCCTTCAACCCATCAAATTTCTAGTATTGAACATTATGCGGGCTAGTAAGCACGCTCTATCTTCAATCTATCAATGCGAATCTCCAGTTTTCACAGAATCTTAAAGACTTACATCGATCTCTCCTGACTTTCGCTCGAACTATCGGGTTTGCAAGGACAGGCTGGCCTTGCACCTGATCCCTGAGATTTAGCCGCATTATTCTGCTCTTGAATCATCAGCAGCCTAAATGACGGGCTAACTGTTCTAATGATCAAGTTTTAGGACTCAAACTTACACGTGTATTACTTTGATACCAGAATATTGTTCAGCTTAAGGATCCATTCGACACCCCATCTAACTAGGGATGTGTAATTTAAGCTTTTTGGCGAGGCACAATTGGCGGCATTTGCGGTAACGGCCGACCATTGTTCTCCTTGTAAACAGGGCCCAACATATATCTTTTAGTTGGAGCCCTTAGACTTGAATGTAGGGGGATAGATTGTAGCTATTTATGTCGATCAATCTGGGAAGAGATGACAATCTTATTCAAGAAGCTAGATCTACCCTTTTTATGACTTGTCTTTCATTGAGAAAATAAAGAGCTAGCACCAAATAAATCCTCCTCTTCGACTATAGTCTTTCTAACCTGCATACTAACGCAGCAAGTTTTGTTCCTACGGTGAACTAGAAATTCACTGGCATTAAATAATCCAGCCATCATTAGATGAGGAGTCTGAGTTGATCCACAGCTACCAAGACCAAAGGCGTTGTGCCAATACACGGCCGATCTTGATCATCATTGTATATACTTTTCTACAAGCCCTTGGATCAACTCAGAAATCTGAGCTTACTATCAAGTTTGATTAGGTAGACATACCTACGCCTAGTCGAGGAAGCTCGATGAATTTGTTAACCTTATCTTCCTTAGTCAACGTTAACATCTAAAGCTCACTCTTTAAAACTACTAAGATAATAAATAGAAACCCTGGAATTCATGCAACAACGCTATCTGCATTATAACTACTAGTGAGTAGCTTGTCGTACTGCGTCTTATGCAGACGGGTCCAAGGATCCCTTCCAGAACCCCCAAAAATAACTAAATCGGATTTTCAACCTCGCCAGAATATCCAAACTCCTCACCACAAACACCTAAGCGAAATTTCTGTAATACTACTTGCACATTTTTAGGATACTCGAGACTGTCGTATTATTCCCTTGTTTATCCTTGCAATTGAATATATAGAGCCTGACTCCACTGGCTAGAAAAGAACAATTTGATGCTTCAAGGCGCATCTAGCCCTTTCTAGCGTAGTAGAGCCTGAAAGATCCGTGTGCAGTATAATATCATACACCCAAGTATGATGGGCATGTCATCGCGATAAGCAGGTAATGTCTGATGTAAAAATATAAGCCCTGAATGTATCCTGGAGTATGTCAGTGGTCATCTCAGCACGGCCCGCAATCCATATATCAATACCTAGCCGGGTTGCCGGTTTTAGTGCAGGTCAGGAAATAAAGATGAGCGTCGTGGCTAGGATCGGACCAGGGCAGAGATTGACTCGGTATGGATGCTTACTCGAACAACAATAATCAATAGGCTGTGTCTTGATTCAGATACAGCCTGTCAGGCTAAAGCTATTACTAAGAGGAGAACAGTGGTGTGCAACCAGCCAAGCATGGAAAGCGTCTTGCTCTCCTAGCCTATGGACCTTTATAAAGAATTTTTAATAGAACGGGTGCTTTAACGTGCATAAAGACTAGGATATGATTGATATAAAATATCATTATGCTATCATCGTTATTTTGTGATGGCTCTAATTCATGAATCATGACTGTGATGCCCGCGTGGAATTTATCACCCTGATATAATCTGCAAAAGATTACGTTGGGTGCGAGTAGAGTTTACAATTGGCTGTTGCCTTACAAATCTCCAACAAAAGTTATTTGGTACAATGGTACATTATTAGGGATGACCTTCCATGCAGTGTCTGGATACTTTGTGTCCATCGCATCCAAGACGGGAGATCGCTGGCTTGCATATGGCTAAACGCGACAATGCTCGTGCATTAGTTGTGCTCCAGATGATGAACGCACGGTTGGACAGTTAGAGGGTTTGAAAACTTACTTTGATAAATATCCACAGACAAGGGCCACTATCTGGTTTGGAACCAAATGTGCTAGAGAATAGACAACTGCTGCACTCCTGAGGGGCTCTATGTGAGTGAAGCCGGGCCTTATGAGTTTAACAACAACCAGGTGCAATGATTATGTCTCGTCTGAATGATTAGAACACTTCAGATTTCACTCAAGTATTCTATCACGTTAAGACTCTCAATCCTGAGAATCCGGCGTAAACCTGCCAAAGCGCAAGATCTTCGGGGCTTGGCCACTTTGCGTCCGAGCAGTCGCAAACATCCTGATATTTCGTTTGTTCTCTCCTCTCCATCCTTTCTCTATTTTGACTTTGCCCCTTCTCTCTACCAGGTATCATTTTCTTGGTTGAAAAGCTTCCTGTAATCGCCCATTGAAATCTAATTGCTTCTGTTCCTGTTTTATGGAATAAAATAATCTCTAATCCATCAGTAAATTTCTTCAACCTGTAATTTTGGCGATTTTCCAGCCTTCCAACTTTGACCTATCGATGCTGTACACCTAACCATGATGCTGGTATTTGTAATTGATAAATATACCGATGTAATGACTTCATGGACTCTCTTTACTGCTCTGATTGATCTGCAGCAAGCTATCGTATCTCAATTATCAGTAGCGCCTCTTTTGGATCTTTGTTTATTGGTAAGGTTAATGAAACTGTCGTCAGATTAACGGCGACTTAAAGATAGTTCGATATATAATTTTATCTGTGGATAATCAACACTATAGAGTTTGATCTTCCACAATGGTACACTATCTTACATTGTCCTATACTTAGCCTTCGAGTAGCTTTGAGACAAATTCATCTCTGGACGATAGATTGCTATCTCGAACCTGGCTAGATTCTTTCAACACTCGCCAGATTCCGTGTACATAAATAAACCTTAGGCTTTCTTGTAGTGGATACTGACGCACAAAAATCAATTGCGCCATGTAGATGAAACCACTCATTGACGTATGTGACAAAAAATAGTTCTGTTTATTAATTAGATACTAGCTAGGGTGCCGGTAAACTTTAAAAACCTCTGTGGTTGGATGGTGCGGTGGTATATCACTACGGCTAATCTCCCAAGTAAAGTCTGGATAGCTTGGACACATATCCCACTTGAGACAGTAGATCACTGGTTCAAATACGGCAAAACACAACCACATTAATTGCGGCGCTGGTATTCATGGATGACGAAGGCATGCTTGGATAACCAAAGGTTTCGAAATTCCCTTTGGTGGGTACTTACGGAGGAGGGTCGACTGTTTGTGTAAGCGAGCATACCTCATAGTGGTACTTGCGAATGAAATCCAGAGTATGAGTGTCTTTAACGTCAAGAGTCATCCACCATGTAAACATAGCGCCGGTCATGTGCCATAGCTAGATAGCTGAATACACATTAAATAATAAAAAAGGCGATCTGCACCAACCCACGTGACTAACTAATTATCAACACGTTATGATCTCCACCCCGACCCGTTCAAATTCAAAGATACTGCTACGACATTTTGTGGTTAAAAGCAGTTGCAAGTAGCCCTAACACGTTTTTTTATTCATTGAATGTATGCATTCAATACAATTGCCCTCAAACCTGTTACATCAAGCCTTCGATTGAAATAGTGCAGCTGACACTATAAAAACAAGCAAACGATGGAAGCTGCTGTGGTCCTCCTACCAGTGGTTGTCTCCGGTATGGTTTGAGTAGCCTGGGCACTTACTCCACCTGGTAAGCAGACGTCCCCGATCACATTTCGCGCGGAGAAAAGTTAATGGATAATGGAAAATGGAGGCATGTCTGGACAACTCAGATTTTTTGAGACGTCTCCTTGGGTGGGTATTTATGGATGAGGGCTGACTTGGGGCTAAGAAATAGTCGTCATAACTTCGGAGTGGTACTTGCAAATGAAATCCAAGGCACGAATGTTGTTCTTTTAAATTGAGTTATCAGTTATGTACTTTTTCTCGGAAATTATGTCATAGCTATGTAGATGCATCCGCAACTCAAGTCTAATGTAAAAAGAAGAAAATAGTTCTTCGTCAAGGCGACCCTTCATCCAGTATAGTTGAAAAAAGCCATGATATCAATGTCTTTCTCTCACACGGCCTCGGTGGGCGACAAGTTGAGGTTTCCATCAAGCAAATTGACTCTTGAATGAGGGGAGATGTTGATACAAGACAAAAAAAGGGACTTATGGCAAGGAAAGATAGATGAGGTTGGGTGACTGATCATGCTTCGGGCATGTGGCGTTCGGTTTTTAAAGTACCGTCAGTTTCTACTGGAAATTTTATACAAATTAAAATTAAAACCACTATTCTATATTAGACTTGTTAGATAGCTTTAGCAGCCCTTAATGATCACAGACTCAATAGGGACTCGAATTTAGTTCTATCCTATGGTATTCGAGTCTAACGAGCAGCTAACGGCTTCAGAGCATTGAAGCCTGTTTCCCTGGATGATCGGACTTCGCATGATTCAACTCATAGGTTGAAGTCCAGGTTGCTGTGGTGGTTCAAATGAGGCAAGGTTCATGTACTAACAGGCAGTTAAAATGATTCAGAAGTCTCCACTCGTAATCAACACCGTAAATGAAACCTTGTGAAGCATATTGCCTTGTATTTTCATATACGAACATACGAACAATGAGTGCCTAATAAAGTAGGGATAAACAATTAGCATGTTTGGCTTGTAAGGCTTCGTCAGTTGGCCACATTATTCAGTTTCTTTCCTGAGCCAGTTCTAAACTGGAAATCATTGTTCGTGCAAATAATAATTTCTGCTGCTTGAGATTGGCTAGACCCCACAATGGCATCTTATCATGTGCTTTCAGACCTAGAGTATTCGTCCATATTTTATAAATACTCCTCACAGCACGTCGCTTGTTGATAATATAGCTTGTTTTTCCGTCCATGTTCATCTGATAAAGTCTTTCAAATGCTCTTCATAGAAACTTGGAATTTGTGTTTTTCTTTCTAGAATATAGTTTCAGAATAGATCGCCATGCTAGTGAACACCGATTTGCATTGCTCGTAGACCTATTTCAGGCAATGCTTGCAATAGCTACCAGACACTAGCCTCGGCTACTGGATTGCATTTTAATCGAAGCGAACGCTATCGTTCGTTTCATGATCGAACACTATCCCTCCTACGACAAAGAATCAGAAAATTTTCAAGCACAGCTTATTTCCAATTGATTCAAGAAAATACCAATATCGCATCCATCCGACCCTTTTCCAAAGCACCAAGATAATTCAGAAAATACTCATTTCCCAAAATGGCTGATAACACTAAAATACAGCATGTTTTTTTCTTGTTGACAGAATATAATGACTAATATATGTAGAGAATTACTTTCGAAGCCACGCAATGAATTAACGTTCGTCATAAAATTCCCCGAGGCATAAATCAATTAGCTTATACCTGGACAGTGAATTTGAAATAGCCCAATTGGAGGAGCACGAATTTACGTCGGGGCCTCTCTCAATACTGCAAACGGCAGTGAGGTCCCATACCCAGGTGTTAATTTCATGTCGCAATAACAGGAAGCTACTTGCTCGAGTCAAGGCCTTTGACCGACACTGCAACATGGTTCTAGAGAATGTCAAGGAAATGTGGACTGAAACTCCGAAAACCAGCGCGGGAAAAAAGGGACGTCCTGTCAATAAGGATCGTTTTATCAGCAAAATGTGAGCTTATCGATAGGAATTAACCTGTGTCATCTAGACACTGAACTAGCATGTGCTAATATAATACAAAAGGTTTCTTAGGGGAGACTCAGTTATTTTAGTGCTTCTCAGTTAATAGGTCCATGCACCTTCGGAACATTATTTCGACGAAGATTTGGTACATTTCAATTGTAAGTCATATTGTTGTGTTGTAACATGGCTAGATCATGTGCTGTTAGCGTTGCTCGGACCTTCATAGACTTGTGTTTCTCTGCTGGTCAGGTTAGACATAAGAAGTAATCAATCTAATATATACCTTTACAACAGGATATGAGAACTCCTGCGCTTCTATGAGTTTTCAGACTGAATCAACGAAATTCTCTACTTTAAAATATAAGGGGAATTGTTATAACCTTCCATTTATAGTTTATATTTCTCTTAATAAATACTCGCACTCACAGCAAGAAAGAAACCAGAACTCTTTTCGATAACCTCATTTTGGGATTATAACGTAGAATCATACCTACAGGCCGTAAAAATTTTACCTTATGATAAAATAACCTCAATGTCGCTGCTGCTACCAGGCTGAAGAAGCTCTTTCCAAAGAAATGCATCATTCCTAAGCGTCAAGATAACGCCGAGGAAAAGAAGACGAGAGCGATGATGAATTCATGAGGGATTAGATTAACACCATGCATAGTCAATAAAGATCGTTCTCAAGAATGCCAATGAAAGGAACAAAGTTTTCATACTGCTGCTAAAGCATACAAGATAATTATTATAGGAAGGATACGGCTCTTCTAGCTTAATTCCTTAAAAATACTTTGTCATTCAGCCAATGAAAATCATACATGCCTCACAAAGACACAACTTTTTATCATTATTACCTCAGAAGTAGGATTTTAGGAACTGGAAGCTGTAATATCTGACGTGGCTCAGGTAGCTATGTAGAAGCAGAGACTAACTCAAGAAAAAGATAGCGTGGTCGAGACCTTGTCAAAAGCGGATAATTTGTCAGAAGTATTTCAGCATCCGAAGACAACCGAGACTAGAATTGCCAAGGTGAATGAATATACGCTAGGATTGAAAGTGGTTAATGCAGTGGTAGGAAAATATGTTCGACATAAGAAGAATTGTTGGGTATGTAATAGCGAGCACGCCAAACCACGTTGTCCTAAATGGTTCTCCACATATGAAAGCAAAGAATTTTAAAAACCGAGTCTCCTGTGGCATCAGTAGCAGAAGAAACAGAAATGCAATAGGGAGTAAGCATATGCAGCAGAGATCAGCATAAATACCCCTTCATTTGCTAAAAATCCTGATAGCAAATCTAAAAATAAATCTGAATCTGAAATTTCAACTTCTCTCTATACAAGTTCACCATTGGTCATTTTCAAAAGAATCTAGGGTCTTGATATAATGAGCTCTTATAATCTTACACCATACAAAGATTTTTTCATCGGATAATTTTAACCCAGTTGCTTGCTCATTGACGTATCTAATAGTACAATAGTGTACTTGATAGGGAGAATTCATGTTAACATCTAATGTAAAAATTCTGGCACATCCAATCAAACTCGCTTTACTACACTTCGAGTTCTACTTTATGTTCTTGATGCGTCGATCAACTTAATATCCTTAGGGACACTAACAAATAAAGGTGTGACAGGTATTTAATGGTTCTGAAATTTTGATCCAATCTAAAGGCAGAAAGATTTTATTCCGCAGACCCAGAAAGTATAGTTTTTGTACCATCCCTGAGCCTACACAATTAGCTCTCAGCTCTACAGTATGAGTTAATCTACTACAAGGACGAATGAGACATCCTAGACGCCAAATTACGATGGGAACCCCTTGAGCTTTAGATGAGATTAAGACTAATGAGAGTCCACAATAAAATTTCTATCGCTAATGTAGAGGAGCTAAAATCATCAAGAAAATTAGCCTGGAGCCGAGGGGCCAACCCTTAGCACCTCTATAACAAACTTACATGGTCTTTTGTGGTCCGTATCGCATGCGGTCGTGGTGCAAAAAGAGATATTTATTTCAATTTATTAAACATTTCGGGATTTTAAATTAAATTCTTTTGACAGGAGGAGAAGGAACTGGTCAAATCTATTGTGAATTGACTTAAGGAAAAACAGGACCGAATTGGTTGAATGAATGAATAAAATTTAAGATTCTACTGAGTCCTAGATTATGACAATTTACTTAAGAATCTATCTAATTATTTCCTTTATAGGTTAGTTTCCAATATGAATGTTATATTGGGCTAGTGGGTAGCATACTAGATAGGATAATCAAGCCATACGAAGTATCCAAAGAAAATGCTTGAAGCTTGTTACAGGAGTGTAGGACTATACTAGCAATAGGGTACTAGAACATGAGTCTTCGGTTCTCCTGATAGATATCTAGCTAAAACAAACGGGAGTCCAACACGTCGGACTATCAGAAGGACTACCTGTCAAGAGGACAATACTATCCGCCTGTAGTAAAATCAAGTAGCCCAAAAAGGGAGAGAATATATACGCATAATTACCAGTAAGATCGATCTTGCTCACCAGACAGAAATGTGCGGTGAGCACCAAACCAAGAAGACACAAAGATAGGGAAATTTATGGAATAACAAGAATGGGCGAGATCCTGGGCCAGCCAGAGATGAACTCGGATGCCTCAGCATATAGCAACAGTAGATCCTGAAACTTGGAGAGCGGCAAAATTTTACCAACGTAGAAAATCTGGATAGCTAAAACTGAGTCTACAAGACTCACCAATTTTTCTACATCCTAACCTGACTAGGGCCCAAAGTAGTTTGACAATGCAAATTTGCAGTGAGCACATACGGCTCAACTCGTATTTACACAGATGGAAAGTAACCGGAGTATTCAGTCCAGGCTGCCCAAGTGGCCACTAATCGCAGAACCCAAGCATATGATTATGTCCTGCTCCCGATGCTCAAATGGAAGGGGAGAGATTTGGAGAAAAGCCAAAAATCGGACCTACGGAGCTATGATGAACAATCCTAGCAACACCAAAAAGATTACACAGTGGATCCTAAATCATGGTTGGATAAAGCAATTACAGGTGACAAAGGCGGTCAAAATGCTGTTGAAGGAAAGGACCAGGTCAATCAACTTGTGGGGTCGATAGAGATGATGTGGTCGATTCATATGGATGGCACTATAGCACAACTGTGCCACCCAAGGAACGCAAGCGAAAACGAAAGACCATAAACAGAAAGTTCAAGTATACTTTCACCAAAAGTTCCCCCATGTAAATAGAGAGAGAAGTAAGTCTATTGAACTACTTGAGTCATATACTATCCAGCACATTGGGCTCCTCTCTGACCCTGGCCACACCGTGCACAGTGCTCCTTGCCTCTTATGTTTCTTAAAAGATCATTGACATATTGCTCGTGTTGAATAGTCGTTCAGCTCAGTATTTACCCGTGGAATTCGGCTACCTTTTCCACGGAATCTTCTACCCAAAAATAATAATAAAAAATGGTAGCAATGGAAACTGCGTGCGCGGGAAAAAGTCTCAAAATACCTGCAGCCCCAGCCAGGCAAGGCCTAGACACCGGGATCACATGAGATGCGCGTATTCATCTACCTTTCCCTTTTTTGTAACATTCGAGGCCGACTTGATCCAATCCACCATCTCCGTATCGGGTGCTGGGTACGCTCCGGAAACTCATCGGATGGCTTTTCCTCCATGATAGTAGTGATGGGGAAATGTGTTTAGGGATGAAGATACAGACCGCGGATGAGATTGGGAATCCTCGACGAATTGAGAACTTTGTTACTCAATCTCGGTTCTGCAGACTCCACAGTGAGAGCTGGAGGTTTGTAGGGAACACCACTGACAGGTGTTGAGAATAGTCCCCTTCATGTAAATATATGGATAGGTTTATAGCTACTTGCATGGATCTATAGGGCGCCAAATCAGGTTAATGAGATAATATTCAAAAAGCGGGTTATTTTTTTTATGTGCTAGCTCATCAAGTTCAGGTAAATATACATTGTTCGTATGTATTACTCTATTTACATGCCTGTCCATAATATTGCGTAAGGATGATGATGTATGAGCCATGCCAAATATCCTAGCGTCGTAAATGAGGCATCACAAGATTTGTTGCATCATTTTTCTAGCATTCCTTCACTTATAGAAACTATGAATAAATGATCATCTACTACTAGCACAAGTCTTGAGAAAACTATTGGCTATTTCCCAAATGTAGATAAGACAGCTAAAAGAGTAAACCGAATGATTATTCAAAAGGGAAATTGTAAACATTTTATAGCAGGATTGAGAACTGAATTTAGGTGACCTTCGTTTAGGACTTGTTATGACACGCTGATTGTGGCAAGCAAGAACTCAAGGTTTAAAAGGTAATTGTTGGATAGGCTGTGCCTCGGTATCTGATCAGATAACAATGTACAATGGGATAAAGATGTTCTTGTACATTCTGTCTACAACTATGGTACACTATAAGAAAAGTATACGAGGCTGACGATTCAGCCTTGTAACCTTACACCGTGTCGGACCCTAACTCTACTGCCTCCCCCCAATTCATGACGTCAAATCTACTACAGATGAGAGGCGACTAAAAATATCAAACAACAGTAATAAAGCTAAATAGCAAAGCCCTATCTATAATTTACACATATAATGAGATTTAAGCAAGTTGTATTGAAAATGTCATGAGTGCCTCCATGACGCCAATCTCCGTCGGTATCCTAAACCTACGCCATATCTGTAAACAAGATCCCTAGTCACTTAACAGGACTACTGTAAATTAGTACTATGGGCAACCAAACGGAGTAATAATGATTGTTTCCTCGGTAGTATGGTACGCTAATACACCACATATATGCCACGGTAGAGTTTGGGGCTATACTGAATTTAATAATATTCCCAGACAAGACTATGGAAAGCTTTTCAAGAAATGCAAAAAGGTGTTTTCGTCAGATAGAAAGGAACGCATCAAAAATCAATAGAAATTGACGTCTGAAGGAAAATCTATAGCAGAAAGCTCTACTAGTTAACTTTGATCAAAATAGCTTCCCTGACAATCTCTAAGAATATGCGTAGATGCAACCTCTGATAGTGACAATGATCATCCAATAGTTTATAAATAACTAGAAGGTCACCGTGCTGGTAAAGAGATCCTAGATGTGTAATTGTAGGGTCAGATCTTCAACAGCTTGTGGAAGCTCGGAATTTAGTATTAAACTGGCAGGAAAATGTTCAAGAGTATAACAACATTTTACTGTTGTAGACAGTATCGGAACGCCAAACTCAGCTTAAACGATAGAAATGAGTGGATAAACTTCGGATAAGAGGAGATGAAC